AAAGGAAAAGAAAAGAAAAAAAAGAAGGGGCACGTGGGTGGCTCAATCAGTTAAGCATCTGCCTTCGGCTCAGGTCATGATCCCCAGGTCCTGGGATCAAGCCCCAGTCAGGCTCCCAGCTCAGCAGGGGGTCTGCTTCTCCTTCTCCCTCTGCCCCTCCCCACCCTGCCCCTCCCCTGCTGTGCTCTGGTTGTCTCTCTCTCTCAAATGAATAAATAAAATCTTTAAAAAAATATAAGAGAAGAGAAATATCAACCTACCACTGCTTGTCTCTGAAAATTTTCTGGAGAAGAGAAAGATCTCTGAATTATCTGTACTGATGGAGTCATGTTATCCACAGGCCTTTCATACCTGTGGAAAATAAGAAAACCAACATATAATCATCAGTTTAACATATATTTACTACATACCAATCATGAGCAAGACACAGTGTCAAAGGTAGGAATGAACAAGAAAGACAAGGTATCTATCTGCTCTCTCATGGATAAGGGTAAGGATTCAGACAGTAAAACAACTTCACCTTGTTACAAGTGATAAATAATTGATTAAAAAGCAAGTAATGGGAGAGAGATAGGGGTTCTATTTTAACTCTGCTGGTCAGGGATGGTCAGGTCCCAAAAAAACCTGTCAATCCCAGGACTAGTGCAGAGGCCTAGGTTGAAAACTAAGATGAAAAGGATTTGGTTGATTAGATATGATAGATGAGGGAAAAAGAAAAATAAAGGATAAAATCTAGATTTTTGGCTTGAGCAATTACGTGGACATTTACTGTGACAGGGAGAGGAACAGGTCTGGGGGAGCAAGGAATTAAAGAGTTCTGTAACATAAATAGGATATTAATTTTAAAGAATTATACCTTATTCCTCAATTCTTAAAAAAGTAGCTTGCTCTACAGAAAAAGTCACTTTAGCAAGCGCTTTAATTTTATTTTAAAATACTTAGCATCAAATCACTAACTGATTTGTCTCATACTTTAGATCTTTTCATTTTGGGTTTTCTTAAATCAGGTTAGACATGTGTATGTTAAAGGGGTAAAAAGTATAAATTTCCTTTTAAGAAAACAAAAACGATTGGCACTCTAGCCTTAAATTAAAAACAACTTATTTACTTGTGTATTTTTTTCCAAAGAAATTCTCCGGGAGGTAAACTTTCTTCCTCCACCTGAGATACCTTTGAAGCTTCTACAAAAGTGGTTTGAGATGCTTCAAGTTCCAAATGTGCTGAGTATTTAAACACAATTTCAGTTGGCAAGAAGGTTGCTAAGAGGTACCATTTTTACACTATTCTTTCTTGGAAATTTTACTTTCCAGTTATCTTTTCATACTGAAGCGACTTCGCTCCACATCCTGGCACCACCCTAATCCAAACCAACAACCTCACCCTAGTAACTTCCTTGCTATCTTGCTACTAATAGCAATACTTAGCTACCAATAGCCTCCTAACTGGTCTATTTTCAGTCTTGTCCCCCCCAATGAGCCATTCTCCCACAGCAACCAAACAACTTATTAAAATACAAACCTTTTCTTGTTACTATCCTACTGAAAACATTTCAATGTGTCTCTACCATTTTTAGGAGAAAATCCCCAAATCTTTTTTTTTTTTTTTTAAAGATTTTATTTATTTATTTGACAGAGAGAGAGACACAGCGAGAGAGGGAACACAAGCAGGGGGAGTGGGAGAGGGAGAAGCAGGCTTCCCGCGGAGCAGGGAGCCCGATGTGGGGCTCGATCCCAGGACCTGGAATCATGACCTGAGCTGAAGGCAGACGCTTAACGAATGAGCCACCCAGGCACCCCGAAAATTCCCAAATCTTAACTATGGTCTGTAAGAAAGACCCTCTTTCTACTTCACCAACATTATCTACTACTCCATTTTTCCTTCATTATGATCTAGATACATCTGCCTTTTAGTTCCTCATTCATTTATATCATCTCTCCTTGTTAAACCTTTCTCCAAGCACATTCTATGCTTTCTTTAGAGAACTTATTAAACAGGTAGTTGCAAAATAAAACAGGCAGTCGCAAAATATATATGTATCTTCCTACAGACTTTTAAGCTTCACTATGCAGCCTATGACAGTGGCTGGGGCTCAGTCACAATGCCTGGGTTTCAATCCCAGCCCACTGTTCATGAGCAGTTCAAACTTGAGCAACTTAATGTCAGTCTTCACTTTCCTCACATACAAGGTAGAACTAACAATAATCCCTACCTCCTAAGACTGCTGTGAGGAATAAAACCATAAATGCAAAGGACTTGGTGAAGAACCTGACACATGACAGATATTTGTTGACTCTTTCTTGAATGAAGCCCATTATGACTGATGAATAGCTCTACTGATAAACCAGGGGAAAAAATGTCCCTGGTAAAATATCATGCTTCCCAAAGCAAATAAAATTATTTAGTATAAACATGGTACCTTTTCTAACCCTTAGTAGCTGGAAGAGACTCTGGAGAGCATTCAATTCAGCTTTTCCTTACAAATGGAAGGACGGGACCAGAGAAATGAGACTACTTCAAGATTACACAATCGGAGAGGCAGACCTAGAATCCAATTCTATAAACTCTTAGTCCACCAGTCTGTTACTGATAGGTATTTTTAAACTGCAAGTAACAACAAATTAATGGTCAAAACTAATGTGAATTTTTAAAAGAAAATAAAATAGAAAATAGAGTATACCGAAAGTAGAGAATAAGTAATGTTCTGGGAAATTTTCAGTTACATATTAAATATGTGGCTGTGGGTATATGTCTTCACAAATGAACGTAATTATATGTACATATATATCTATTTTAGGGGTACTATATATGTCTGTCTGTAGTCCCCTTAAAATAGATACCTAATTATAATCCAAAATATAATATAGCAGAAAAATAAAGAGGTAGGAGCTTAAAGGAGGAAACAAATCCCTCAGTATGTTTTGAGATCACTAACTAAAAAATTTCCAATAAATGATTTTAACAATAGGTCCAAAATATTACCTGCTAGGAGATGTAGAGGTAGGGCTTGAGTTTCCAACATGATGCTGGGGATATGGCAAACTGACATCCTGTGAGGCATGGCTACTTCCTAAAATGAAGTAATTTGAGAAATTATCCTTGATAGAACAAGTTGAAATTTTATCCCTCCTACCCCAAATCATGCCAAAAAGGTAGACTGAAGCTACAAGAGAAAACTTCAAATTTCACTAGACCGCTTTACAGTTCCATCAGAATGAAAATTATGTGTTTATCATCAGATATATCCAAAACAAAGGGTTCCAAATAAGTACTACCAATGTACAAATATCCAATCTGGCCATAACACACTAAATTTTAACTGGACACATGGAAAGTTTCATCCTCACAGGATCCAGAATCAAAATTTGTAAATGTAAATCACAAAGCAGCCAGGAAAAGTATTTTTAGAAAACAACCTCACTCCTTTCAGAGCAGGAACCCAAACCCAAGTCTTCCTAACAACAAAGTTTACGCTCTTTTTAGTAACCCAAACTCAATTTTAAAATGACAATTTTCAAAATCCATGTTGTCAACGTTATCTAGTTTCAGGGATATATAAAGCTTACTACCCACAAAGCTTAAGGTATTTTCATCCAACAAGAGGTTCTTTAAAAATTGAATAAAATTAAAAACAAAGAACAAAGCAGCAAAAAACCCGTCTCCCTAAACAGTTACACTGAACAGTTAGTTACCTGATCTAAACTGAATTTTGATGGGCCTCCCAAAAAGTTTGATTCCATTAAGTAGATTCATCGCATAAGGAACAGATACTTCATGTTTGAAATTCACAAATGCGAACTGTTTTGGTTTACCATCCTTATCTTTTGGAATTTTCACTTTTACAACCGGTCCAGCCTACAAACAAAAAAAAGAAAAAGAAAGTCTTCAGAATTTAAATGAGGAAGTTTAAAAACAACAGAAATGTAACCAGGAAAAGTCTAAAAAATGGACACACAGGGATTTCCAACCCAATTAAAGGTTCTATAGATATGACTGAACACTTGATTCATTTATTCGGGGAAGGAAGCCTATAAGGAACTGGAAACAGTCACTCAGTTTACATTTCATGTGACTTTTTAACAAGGCGACCGACATCCGTCACTTTCCCACTCCAGGTACCGTTTATCAAGAGCCAGAGAAAGTGGTTTCCTGGGACTAAAAATTCACTTTTGTACTGATTAACCAAATATTACCAGTTGTTAGAGAATGGAACTGGAAAGAAGAAGAAATTCTGAATTTTTAACACATTTTAATGCAGATTCGACTACAGAAACACTACTGCTCTATGGAGTAGTCGATTTTAAATATTTTAACGCTGCAACTAATTTAAAAAACTTAAATGGAAACAGATAGTGACCAAGCAACTGAAATCTAATTAGCCAGATAAACCGAAGACAAAGTGCCTTAAGGGGAAGGAAGATGAGCAAAGGAATAGGGAAAAGCCCGGCTCCACGAAGAACCCACACATACCGTGCCCCTTAGGATCCTTGAATCTTTGCCTCGGGAAAGCTTCACCGAGGCAGCCTCCACCACCCTGGGGTGAACTGACTAGGGTTCTTCGCATAAGGCGACACCCAGCGAGCGCCTCACTTTCCCAGTGGACCTGCGGCCCCAAGCGGCCCACCCGTCGGGCACCCGGACCCACAGACCCCCTTTCCCCAAGAAGGCGGGCATGGCCGTCGGACCGGGCCGTATGCGAGCCGCACAGCGAAGGGAAAAGCCTGCCGTCGGCTACTGACCTGGTGGAAAAGCTCGAAGAGGAGCTCCTCGGTCACTTTAGTTTCAAGGTTGCCCACAAAGAGAGTGCGGTCCGCCTCCGCCGCCGCCGCCCCCATCTCAGCGTCGCCCCCTCCCTCAAAAGGCCGAGGGGGCCGTCGCCGTCGCACTCACTGCGCACTCTCGGAAACCCCACGTCCTTGCCCTCCCGGACGTCACGGACGTAAACGTCAATCCCGCTCGCTCCCGGCCGGCGTCGCGGTGCGCGGACGCGCTGCGCATGCTCGCGAGGAGAACGCCGGTGAGAGGCGGCGCCTTGGTCGGCCGCGGCGCTAGTTATGGCCTCACATGTAGGCCGTGGCGGCGTCCGAGACGGCCTGGACTGATCTGCGGAGCCGCAAAGGGCCCACCTTGACCGAGGGGCGTAACAAACACTGCGGGCAGTGTTGGAAGATGGCGCTGAGCAATGTGTCCCTGTCGGCCGGCGATCAAAGGACCGGGGTGGCCTACCGCGCGTCCCGCGGCGACCTCAGCCCGTCGGCCTTAGCGCTGGCGATGGTCTCCGGAGACAGCTTCCTCGTTGCCAGGCCCGCGGCTATTCTTCCAGGGCCCACTCCTCGGCAGGCCCTGCGGCCGAGCGCTCGTAGCGAGAGCCGTCGGACGAGTGGGGGCGGCCGGAGCCCGACCCGCCTTATAACGGGAAGGGACCCTGATGGACGGAACCGGAGCCGCCAGACCAGATTCTCGCCGTATCCGACCCCCGGGGTTAAACTGGATCTCCTGAGGAGCCTGCTGCAACAGCGGCTGATGGCCATCGGAAGTGTCATCGCAGCCCGCCTCTCGGCTTAGTGCCTCCCCCTGCCCCTCGACTCGCTTGTAAACGAGGCCTCTCTAAAACCCTTGGTGCCTGGGCGGTCTTATTTTCATTTTAATGTAGAAACGCGTCGGAGTCCTGTTAATACGGCTTAGCACAGAGGAAACGTCTCCTTACTGCTGGATTCCGAGGGTTTTAGGCGGCCAGAGTGATTCAATCAGGAGGGAGGGAGAAGAGATCTTCTTAGTCGCAGAGCTGAACCACCCTTCCCGGAGGTCGGCGATCATTTTTTCACCCCTTGTGCGCTCCATCCCGACAGTGGACCCAAATTTCTCTGCTTTCCGCGAACCGTATCTCCCACCCTGGCAGATTCTCCGACTTGTAATTGGAAACGGCCTAGCTCTCTACCCCAGACTGTTGCCATTACGTTTACTTCTGTTGGTGACAAGGAAATGCCTCTTTTTACTACCCTGGCCTATTCTTGCATAGGGACTGAGGCTTATCCAGTCCTCTTGTCTTTATCCCTTTTCCGTCTCCCTCCACTTCTTCTTCAGGCATATCTACAAACTCCAATCTCAGTCGTACTAAAAACAAAAGTAAACCTGAACTTTGCTGCTTTTTCACATTATTAAGCCAGTTTCATTTCTTTTTTTTTGCCAAAGGCTCCAAATGAGTTTTTACAAGTCTGTTTGTCATTGTATTATTAGCATTCAATCCCAGTTTCCTTAATCTGAGTCTGTTGTCCCGAAATACAACGGTGGGTAATTGAGGCTTAGGGTCTCCTGTTAGGAAGCGGTTCATCGATTCACTGTAGCATCTTCCCCAAACGTTCTTGTTTATCTGTATTCATTAGCCATTCAACGATATTTGAAGATCTTCCCAGTGGTGAGCACTGCGGATTGGCTACAGTCGAGGAATGTGTTCCAGATAGGGAGGCTAATAAATCAATAGGTAATCACCACACGGGACTGTTCATTACGTGCAGTAATAACAATAGCATTGGTTGCAGTGGCTTTCCGTAATACTCTACTATCCTGGTTCTCCTGCCTGGCTGGTCACTCCTTATTTTCTGATATTTTTATTCTCTTAACCGCATATTTCGTAAGGTTTAAAGGGTGGTATGGGGAGAAAATTAGTGGGGTTTTTTAAGTGCCAACTCTCCGTAAGCAGGTAGACTAGCTTTTTCCCAGTGGACTCTTGTGTATAATTATGATCAGGTAAAGCAAAATTACCACATACCACACAGTATTGAATTGTTAGAACCACATCTGAAGAAGAATGTTGGTAAATCCAAGAGCTTCCCTAAGAGAGTGATTAATATGGTGAGAGATCTGGAAGCCAGGTCATAGAAAGAACGGTTGGAAGGATAATAACAGCAATGTTTTATTGAGTGGTATGTGTAAGGCAATGTTGTAGAGGCTTTTATTCATTATTTATTCAGGTATTTATTGAGAACTTATTCTGTGCCTGATACGACCTGTATTAGGCATTTAGAATAAAGTGGTGAACAAGTTCAATAACGTCTCTGCTTTGGTGGAGCTTTATATATGTCATTTAATTCTCACAATGGCCCATAAGAGAGATATCATACTTCATTTTATTGCCCAGAAACCAAGGCACAAAGAGATGAAGTAAACTTTCCAAGGTCATACGGCTAGTCAATGATAGAGCCTTGCAGCTCTCATCCAGTTTCCTCATTTGAACCATGCCATACAAAAAGTCATTTGAGTAACTTTTTTCTCAGTTCTCTCAAAGATAGCATATATCTAATACTCTTCTAACCTAAAAGATTAATTGATAATATACGATGGGTGCCTTAGACTGGGCATTACAAAAACCTGTAGTTGAGAAAGGAATCCCAAATCTATATGTTAACGAGTTTTAGACTGGGAAGAATAATAAAATTAAGACTAAAGGTAAGAAGTGTTTTCAAAAAACTTAGAGATGCCTAATAGTGAAAAATAACACCTCACAAGGTAAGTTCAGCCAAAAACTTCAGAGAGGCTGAATACTATCAAGTATGAAATAGGATTATGTCTTCTTGGATCTTCCCCCATTTAACCTATTAATTCTGTACTTTAAAAAATAAACTTGTTAAAATTGGAAGTGGACAACAGGATGAGAAGAGGAAAATGAGGTATAATACACAGGATGACCATATTTACTGTACAAACCAGGACACGAGAGTGGGAGAGGGTGCTGCAGGTTCTGGCATAAAAGTGCACATGAGAAAAGGAAGACCCAAGGGGAGTGATTTCATTTCTGTTTGTTTAGGCATGAGATCATCAGGAGTAGGGCTTTGAGTGAATAATAGTGTATATGTGCCAGAGGAAAAAAAAGAAAAAAATTGTGTGGTTTATTGTGCTTTGACAGGAGGAGACCCTTGTTCACATAAATGTTCCATCATTTTAAATCTGAGCCAATGAGGGCGCCTGGGTGGCTCAGTTGGTTAAGTGACTGCCCTTGGTTCAGGTCATGATCCTGGAGTCCCGGGATTGAGTCCCGCGTTGGGTTCCCTGCTCAGCGGGGAGTCTGCTCCTCCCTCTGACCCTCTTCCCTCTCGTGCTCTCTCTCATTCTCTCTTTCTCAAATAAATAAATAAAATCTTAAAAAAAAAAAATCTGAGCCAATGAATATCTAAATTCTCCTTAGCATCCGTGCTAGTGTCCAAGTTACAATGAGTCACAAAGACCATATCATGGAAGCAAGAACCAATGTAAACCTCTGTCGATGAAATTACCTTGAAGCAGGGACAAAGTTTTCCCAAGAGCAGTCCATGTCATTAAAAATGTTAGCGTACAAAGTAAATATTTAACATCAGTAGTGAAGTATAGCATGTTGGCATTCTAAAATAGATGCGGTTTCTAAGAGTAATACAAAAAACTGTCCAAAAAAATCAATACTTAATGTTAGTTTAGGGGCGCCTGGGTGGCTCAGTTGGTTGAGCGACTGCCTTCGGCTCAGGTCATGATCCTGGAGTCCCTGGATCGAGTCCCGCATCGGGCTCCCTGCTCGGCAGGGAGTCTGCTTCTCCCTCTGACCCTCCTCCCTCTCATGCTCTCTGTCTCTCATTCTCTCTGTCTCAAATAAATAAATAAAATCTTTAAAAAAAAAAAAATGTTAGTTTAAAAAAAATTGTAAATTCCTGTTTGTTTTTTATTGTCTCGTATTTATCATATCATAGTAACTGACTAGCTTGTGTTGAAGTGGAGTCCTATTAGAATATTTACTTTATTCATCAGCACTAAAGCTCTTAAAAAGAATGCCCACTAGGGATATAGAAGAAAGAGGCCAGGAGACTTTCCCTCAGTATCTGGATTTCGTGATAAGCCTTACCTCTAAAGCGGGGTACCTTGGAAAGAAAGGAAAGGAGGGAGGAAAGTCCTACAGGAAGGATGAGTAAGTTAACTTTTGATGGTCAGAGGCTTGGCTGTCTTGCGAGCAAAATTGGTTGTCTTTCATTCCTTCAGTGAATCCAGATCCTGCTAAGGTACAGCTTAGAAATATAAGATACTTCTTTGTAGAAAGATGAGATCAATACATTTGACAAGTGGTACATGTTTTATCACCTTGTTAGGGAGTCATGATGTATAATAATATGTTAAATGTTCTGATAATTCCTTTAGAAAAAGAAAGCTGTTTAACTTCATTTTCACCAGGGTTTCACAAATTTATTTGTCCATAAGTTTAAAATTTTTGCATACTACCTCTCTTCCCGATGAGCCTCAGTTCTACAGAAACGTAATTCTGTATGCTGCCTTACTTAAGAAGTTTCATTGGCTCCCCACGTCAGGTATTAGAAATGGACTTTTATATAATGTAGCAGAATTTGCTAAGTTTCCAGAATGTTATTAGTCAGGCAAATTGATTGGTTTCCTCACTCGTGGTTTGATAAGATTCAATCCCATCTTTATTCCAAATGATGACTGGTGCCCATCATTGTCTTTGGTGAGTCGGTGGGAGGAGGGAGGCAAGCATGCAGCTGCAGATTCCCCAGCCACTGAGGATCAAGACTGGCAATGTCACTAAGGGAAGGCATTAGGAACATCCCCTGATGAAACTTACTTCTTAAGCATGCTAATAATGTAATCTTTTTTTAAAATGTAATGATTTACTTGGCTGTTAGCTTCACTGGAGTATCTGAAGACAGCCCTTCTTCAAAATACACTTCTAAACCAGAAGAAAATACTGCCTTCAGCTTCCCAAAGACCTGAGAGTAACGGAAGCAATGCAACTCTTAAAAATTGCAGACTCCACAAACCGACTTTTAAGACTTTACAGAATCTGACCAGACTACATTGCCAGCCTTCTTTTTCATAATGTGCCCACGTGGTTGCTGTTCTTTCCTGCCGCTGTGCCTATGCCTATTCTAGTCCCCTTAACTAAATCGTTTGTACTTCTCGTTTTCTGCCAGTTAAACTTCTATCCATCCAGATTGGTCCAGTTTCTTTACATTACAAAGGACACACCCATTTTAACAAGGTTAAGCAAAAAATGGACCGGACTGACGCTGAGAACTGGAAACATGAAGAGAATATGGGATGTTCTGTCTATTAAGCAACTGTTTATCCTCTAAGAGCACCTTGGTTTTTTTTTTTCTGTGGAGCCCCCTCCCTCATCCTCCATTCATGTATTTGGGGAGAAGCTTAACACCTGCCTCCAGGGATAGGGTTATAATCCATGTCTTACCTCCTCTACTACCTTGAAGCTCCCTGAGAGCAGACGACATGTCTAAATTTATTTTTAGGGGTGCCTGGGTGGCTCAGTCGTTAAGCGTCTGCCTTTGGCTCAGGTCATGATCCTGGAGTCCCGGGCTCGGGCTCCCTGCTCAACGGGGAGTCTGCTTCTCCTTCTCCCTCTGCTCCTCCCCTGGCTCATGCTGTCTCTCTCTCTCTCTCTCTCTCTCTCTCTCTCTCTCGTTCACCCTCTCAAATAAAATCTCTTAAAAAAATAAATTTATTTTTATGTTTACTTGTACCTATTACCCAAAGAGTAGATATTTAATGAATGCCTGTTACATGAACGAATGAACTTCACGTAGGCTATCTCTTCTTGGAATCAAAATCCAAAAGTGGAGCATTCCAGGAAGACAAGGGCAGAAATTGTAGGCCCTTTAGTCAAAAATTATCCAGTTATCTGGGCAGATAAGAGTAATATGGTAAGACAAAATAAGTTTTGTTTAAAGGTTTTACTTCAATTTAGAAGCAATCTGCCTCTGGGAATATAACCTGAAGATTAATCCTAATACAAGATGTGGACAAATATTTATGCACATAAATATTTAATGCACTTTAAAATGCCCCATTTATAATTTTTAAAACGTGGAAAAGCTTCTATGTCCAAAATAGATGATGAGAAAAGAAAAAGGAAAGAGTGCTTAGTGTATACCAGGTTGCCACCAACTACTTTCCCAAGGATTATTTTATTTAATCCTTACAATCGTTGTATGACAGGAGGTGGCAAAATTTTTCTGTCAAGACCCAGGTAGTAAATATCTTAGACTTTGCAGACCAAGGGGCAAAACTGAGGCTATTATGTAACGAGTATTAGTATAATTAGTATAATACCATTTATCTTGTTTTAAAGCAGGTAAGACAAATCTATGTTCCTCTTAGAGATACACTAGGG